CACAACATGAAGGTCATGCGTTTCTCCGTATCACCTGTCGTGCAGGTTGCCATCGAAGTCAAAAACGCCGCGGATCTGCCGAAACTCGTCGAAGGGTTGAAGCGTCTGTCGAAATCAGATCCGTGTGTGCAGACCTGGATCAACGAGACCGGCGAGCACATCGTTGCCGGCGCTGGAGAGTTGCATCTCGAGATCTGCTTGAAGGTGGGCTGCTCGAGGTATTATTGAGCGAAGGCCAAGCTGACGACGCGACAGGATTTAGAAGAAGATCACGCGGGTGTCCCGCTGAAGAAGTCGGAGCCTGTGGTTCCGTACCGAGAGACGGTCAAAGCAGAATCTTCGATCGTCGCTCTGTCCAAGTCACAGAACAAGCACAATCGTCTCTACATGAAGGCTTTACCACTAGGGGAAGAGATGACAAAGGCCATCGAGGACGGCAAGGTTAGCGCGCGTGATGACTTCAAGGCCCGGGCTCGGATCATGGCCGACGACTTTGGCTGGGACGTCACCGACGCAAGGAAGATCTGGGCCTTTGGTCCGGACACGACCGGTCCCAACCTGATGGTTGATGTGACCAAGGGTGTCCAGTATCTGAACGAGATCAAAGATTCGTGCATCGCTGCACTCCAATGGGCCACCAAGGAGGGTGTTTGTGCAGATGAGAACATGCGAGGCGTTCGCTTCAACATGCTCGATGTCACTGTGAGCGGCCAGACATGCGACTCACGGACGTTTTGCTAAGGCAGGAACAGCTGCATACAGATGCGATCCATCGAGGTGGAGGTCAGATCATCCCCACTTGCCGTCGGGCGTGTTATGCCGCTTGTCTGCTGGCCGAGCCTGGACTGCAAGAGCCCATCTATCTCGGTAAGAGCTTTGACGATGCCCTCGCTTCTTCTGCTCATCTGGTGCCCAGTCGAGATCCAGTGTCCAGAAGGCGCGATCGGCGGCATCTACAGCTGCCTGAACAAGCGCCGAGGACAAGTCTTCAGCGAGGAACAACGTATTGGCACACCTATGTTCACCGTCAAGGCATACCTGCCCGTTAACGAGTCCTTCGGCTTCAACGGCGAGCTTAGGCAGGCCACTGGAGGTCAGGCCTTCCCGCAAAACGTCTTCGACCATTGGGAGCTGATGGCTGGCTGTGGGTTCCATCCGAAGCCCGACACTCAATAAACTAACTTTTGGTAGCCCCACTCGACAAGGGAAGCAAAATCGAGGAACTTATCACGAAGATGCGCGTCCGCAAAGGTCTCAAGGTGAGTTGGTTAGCTTCATCCACCGCGCCAGTCGCCCAAACTTTCCAGCCCGAAATCCCGTCTCTCGACACGTACTACGACAAGCTCTAGTCGCACGGATTGTTCTAACGATGAGTTTCACGAAATATTTGTCGAGAGTTGTTGTATTCAAATTCAATTGTACTTTTCAACTGGCGGTCTTCGTCGCAGGTTCGTCCTTCGATCGGAGATTGGATCGCATATACTCATCTATATTGCAGCTTCATCTGAGCGAGATGTGGTTAGATAGAGGTTTTCACTCACAGTAGGCTACGCACGTTGGACATGTGCGGGAACGGAAAAGACAAGCGCGATCGTCAAGTCACCGGGCACTGCCACATCACGTGCCCGTTACCAATATCGGATCCGAAGTTTTTCACCTTTTTCATCCTCTTCCTCACCGCAGGCTCACTCACCCCCTGCTCTCTCACCGATCTCTCGCAGCGTTCTGTGCGAGCATCGAGTTCCAAACATCTCTTAACTCTTCTTCATCTCAAGCTTCGACAACATGGTGTATGTCCAGTCCCCCGTTTCTAGCGCATCGTTAATCGCTCATCGATGCGCATTCAGTAACTTCACCGTTGACGAGATTCGTGGGCTCATGGACAAGCCCCACAACATCCGTAACATGAGTGTTATCGCTCACGGTAGGTGATGGATGGGCTGTGATTAAACAGGGTTTTGACTCCTCGCGCATAGTCGACCACGGCAAATCGACCCTCACCGACTCTCTCGTCTCCAAGGCCGGTATCATCGCCCACGCCAATGCTGGCAATGCCCGCTACATGGACACGAGGCAGGATGAGAAAGATCGTGGTATCACTATCAAGTCGACGGCCATTTCGATGTACGTCTCTAATCCCTTTCTGATCATCGCTCGTCAGCTCATGAGCTGTGCAGGTACTTCCAGCTCCCTGAGGAGGACATGGCTGCCGTCAAGCAAAAGAACCAAGGCAACGAGTTCTTGATCAACCTGATCGACGTGCGTACCAACCGACCGCTCCGTAAGCTCCGACTCTGACCACGACTTTACAGAGCCCTGGTCACGTGGACTTCTCTTCGGAGGTTACAGCCGCACTGCGTGTCACTGATGGTGCTCTTGTTGTCGTCGACACCATCGACGGTGTCTGTGTCCAGACTGAGACCGTGCTCCGTCAGGCTCTCGGTGAGCGTATCAAGCCCGTTGTCATTATCAACAAGGTCGACCGTGCGCTGCTCGAGCTCCAAGTCTCCAAGGAAGACCTTTACCAGTCTTTCTCGCGAACCATTGAGAGTGTCAACGTGATCATCTCCACCTACCACGATGCCGCCCTCGGTGATGTCCAGGTCTTCCCCGACCAGGGAACCGTCGCTTTTGGTTCCGGTCTGCACGGATGGTGCTTCACCCTGCGTCAGTTCGCTGCCCGCTACTCTAAGCGTTTCGGTGTGGACAAGGACAAGATGATGAAGCGTCTCTGGGGTGACAACTACTTCAACCCTGCGACCAAGAAGTGGTCGACCAAGGGCACTGACGCCGAGGGCAAGCCCCTCGAGCGCTGCTTCAACATGTTCGTCCTCGAGCCCATCTTCAAGGTCTTCGATGTCGTCATGGACTTCAAAAAGGACCAGCTCGGCCCCATGCTCGAGAAGCTTGACATCAAGCTGGACCAGGAGGAGCGTGAGCTCGAGGGAAAGAAGCTCCTCAAGGCTATCATGCAGAAGTTCCTGCCCGCCGGTGACTCGCTCCTGGACATGATTGTCATCCACCTTCCTTCGGCTGCTGCTGCCCAGCGCTACCGTGTCGAGTCTCTGTACGAGGGACCTATGGACGACGAGTCCGCCATCGGTATCCGTGACTGCGACCCCAAGGGTCCTCTCGTTCTGTACGTCTCCAAGATGGTGCCTACCTCCGATAAGGGACGTTTCTATGCCTTCGGTCGTGTGTTCTCTGGAACCGTCCGGGCTGGCCCCAAGGTCCGCATCCAGGGCCCCAACTACATCCCCGGCAAAAAGGACGACCTGTTTGTCAAGTCCATCCAGCGTACCGTTCTCATGATGGGTCGTTACATCGAGCCCCTCGAGGACTGCCCCGCCGGAAACATCGTCGGTTTGGTCGGTATCGATCAGTTCCTGCTCAAGAGCGGAACCCTCACCACTTCGGACACTGCCCACAACATGCGTGTCATGCGTTTCTCTGTGTCCCCCGTCGTGCAAGTCGCCGTCGAGGTCAAGAACGCTGCCGATCTGCCCAAGCTCGTCGAAGGTCTCAAGCGTCTCTCCAAGTCCGACCCCTGTGTCCAGACCTGGATCGCTGAGACTGGTGAGCACATTGTTGCTGCTGCCGGTGAGCTGCACTTGGAGATTTGCTTGAAGGCGAGCAACTGGTCTTTTTGCTTATCTACTCCCTTTGCTTATACTTTTGATAGGATCTCGAGGAGGACCACGCTGGTGTCCCTCTCAAGAAGTCCGACCCCGTTGTGCCCTACCGTGAGACTGTGAACGCCGAGTCCTCGATCGTTGCCCTGTCCAAGTCGCAGAACAAGCACAACCGACTGTACTTGAAGGCCATGCCTCTCGGCGAGGAGCTGACTCGTGCCATCGAAGACGGCAAGATCAACCCCCGTGACGACTTTAAGATCCGTGCGCGTTTGATGGCTGATGAGTTCGGCTGGGACGTCACCGATGCCCGCAAGATCTGGGCCTTTGCTCCTGATGGTAACGGCCCGAACATCCTGGCTGATGTGACCAAGGGTGTGCAATACCTTGCCGAAATTAAGGACTCGTGTGTTGCTGGTCTCGAGTGGGCTGCCAAGGAGGGTGTGTGTGCCGAGGAGAACATGCGTGGTGTTCGTTTCAACCTGATGGATGTGACGGTGCGTGAAGTCGATCATCGTGGCTGAGGATATGGACTCAAGAAACTACGCACAGCTGCACGCTGATGCTATCCACCGTGGTGGAGGACAGCTCATTCCCACCACCCGTCGTGTGATCTACGCTGCCTGCTTGCTCGCTGAGCCGACGTTGATGGAGCCGATCTTCCTTGTCGAGATCCAGTGCCCGGAGAACGCGATCGGTGGTGTCTACTCTTGCCTCAACATCAAGCGTGGCCAGGTCTTCAGCGAGGAGCAGAGGCCCGGAACCCCCATGTTCACCATCAAGGCCTACCTGCCCGTCTCCGAGTCGTTCGGTTTCAACGGTGCCCTTCGCCAGGCCACTTCTGGCCAGGCCTTCCCCCAGAGTGTGTTCGACCACTGGGAGCCTCTCCAGGGCTGTACGTCGTTCATCGTCTAATCTGCTATGTGTTGCTCAATGTTTGTTACTTTTTTCAGCCCCCCTCGAGAAGGGCAGCAAGCTCGAGGCCCTCGTCCAGGGCATTCGTACTCGCAAGGGTCTTACTGTGCGTCCATCCTGTTGCTTCTGCCCTGTTCTGGGTGCTGACTTCGTGACAGCCGGCCATCCCTGCCCTGGATACTTACTACGACAAGCTCTAAGATTAATGATGACGATTGACTGTAGACTGCCTTTTCTCCCTCTGTTTCCCTGTACGTGAATACGAGCTGAATGTATAACAAAAATACAATCTTGTATTCCCTGCATCAGCTGTTCGACGAGCTGCCACTGTACCCGCGTATCAGACTTGACAAACTTCTTTCTTCGCCTGTTGGGAAGAAAACGTGGTTCATGACTCTGTCCCAGTGATCTGTTGCCGGCGATACACGTGATCGCGAACTGACTACCTACCAACTGAATGTTGCTACCAGTGCTAGTGGCTGCTCTGTCTCATTCCGACATCTGTCGATATACTTCACTTATTCGCAAAGACCCTGGAACTACAGAACTGGATGCTATGGTCTCACGCCTGTCAGAATAGCCTGTCGCGCCTGGCATGATGCATGCTGCAGCATACATCCATATCTCTGTTGCAAGCCTTGCTACTATGCCCCTTGCCGCTATACCCCCCAACATTCAATATTGCATTCCCCATTCATGCATCATGCATCCACCGCGGTCGAAAGCGTCGCTTACATTCGTTGCATGCGTCTCCGACCGCTGCGTCACTCCTCAAATCGCCTTGCGTTAAGACAATACTCCACGGAAGGGCCAACTACCGCGAAGCCTCAAACGCGTCTTTCTAGGGCTCGCGTCGTGCTAGGGGCTAGTGGGGTGGCAGCAACCGCCATCTATACTCACCTGACAATGAATCGCCCTGCCGAGGGCGGTGGATTTTCGGATACAAGGCGCTCGTTCATCAACACGACCTTTGTATACACCGGGATCGGGATGGTAGTATCGTCGGCGTTTGGCGCGATGTTCATGTACGACGCAGGATATCAGTTTATCGGGACTGGGCCTTGGGGCATTGTGGCGATCGGTGTGCTGGGAGGACTCGCGTCGATGGTCGGGATGACCTACACTCCCCCAGAATGGACGGTCACCAAACACTGTTTCTGGCTGGTGAGTATTAGATGCCCTGGGATCACTGCTCTGGAATGCTCATGGGCGCGTACGACAGACATCAAATTTCTTCCCAGCTCTGATGCTCTCGCCGCTGTTTTTCACCCATCCTGTTTTTTACCCGCGGGTAGCGCTTTACACGGCAGCTTCTGTCTGTGCTTTCTCCTCGGCGGGGGCCATCGCTACCAACAAGCAGTATCTGGTTTGGGGCGGCACTTTGTTGGCGGGTGCTTCAGTGCTGGCTCTATCGATGTTCGTTCCACGGATACTTCCGGAAGTCTCACGTCGCACTCTTGGATCCAAAGAAGCGGTCTATCTGTACGGGGGAACTGCGTTGCTCAATGCTGTCTTCATTGGCCATCAGTGAGGGAGTGACAAATCATATGCATCCTTGCTGACTGTCACCCAAGCGCAGAGAAGATCGTGAAAGACTCTAGGAAAATCGAACGAGGGCGGATGATTGCTGACCCACTTCTCACCTCAGTAGATAACCAGCAGTATCTGACTTGGCTCGGGTATGATTCACTTTCTTGAAAACACCGCCGTCACCCGGCTGACTCAACTCAGTTACAATTTCGGTCTCGGAAAGCTCCTTGCCACACGTATAAGCAAGTAAATATCTGACTGTATCTCTTACAATAGCAAGCAGAGCGGCTTTCGTGTATGTTCTCCATCGTTCCGTCCACCCGGCCGATGACGTATATCATCGGCACTGCATAGCCACCATTCGTCATATAAGCCGGCGATTGGCGGCTGTAGTTCACACAACTTTCATCTTCACCTTCACATGTTCCGCCAGGGTCTGTCGTCGCTGCGACCAATTGGGGTCAACGCAGCCCGCGTGAAACCCTCAGCCCCCATCCGCCATTTTTCCCAACTCCGACCTAATATCCTGCAAACTCTGAGAAAACAACGCGAATCTTTGACCAAGCTCAAATTTCCTCGATACTCCACCGAAGTGCCCATAATCGAGACAGCGAAGCCCGTCTCATGGCAGCGTGTTGCCCTCATTGCTGGCGGTGTCGCTGGGAGCGTGGTGGTCCTCGACAGCCTCATGAACCGTGAGACGCGTGACGGGCTCTCCGCCAGCGAACGGTCCTTGCTCAATTCGACATTCGCATACACCGGTGTCGGGCTTGCGATCACCGCGGCAGCGGCGCGTGCGATGTTCACCTCGGGCGTCGCGTTCCGAATCATGGCCGCGAACCCGTGGGTCGTCTTCGGCGCCAGTCTGGCGGGCGGGATTGGGTCCATGATGGGCGTGTTCTACACGCCTCCAGAGAACACCATCCCCAAGCATCTTTTCTGGCTGGTGCGTAGTGTGATTTGCGACGGGCAAGTGGTGTGTGGACTGAAGCTGTTCCTCTCACTAGACCTTCAATGCGTTCCAAGCCGCCACGCTCTCTCCCCTTTTCTTCCTTAACCCTGCCGTTCTTGCCCGGGCCGGCCTATACACGGTCGGTCTCGTCGGTGCGCTCTCATATGTCGGTGCGACGGCGACGAACGACAAATACTTGATGCTTGGCGGTCCCCTCCTCGCCGGTGTCTCCGTAGTTGCCCTGAGCGCCTTCGCTCCCCTCGTGCTGCCCGTCACCGCTGTCCGGACCCTTGCTGTGACAGAGGGTCTCTACCTGTACGGTGGATTGGCCGTCTTTGGTGGATTTGTGTTGTATGAGTATGTACCAACACATTCCATGGATTCGAGTGCCCGCAACTGACCGATTGCCTGTTCAGCACCCAGAAAATCTTGGCGCATGCGCGGATGGCCGAGCAGGGAAGGATGAAGGCGGATCCCATCAACGAGGCTGTTGGTCTCCAGCTCGATATGATCAACATATTGTGCGTAGCAGCCTTTCCTGCCATCACAATGAGCCTGACCGTCTAACTAGCATTCGTCTCGTTCAAATCCTGTCTATGAACAACAACCGTCGGTAGGCGGTGCTTTGAGGGGCGGTCGCGCACAAGGATGAAGCCCTGTGTATTTTATCAGACGAATACGTGTATTTTTTGCGAATCCTTGCTCATTTATTCGGTCTGTGTTGTGATGGAGAAACGAAAATATGGACTGACTAGATCGTCCTGTAAGTTTAATGATAAGTATACGCAGAGATTCGACAGTTAAGCTGGTGAAAGACAACAAACCTGATCCTCGATCGCCATGACCTTGATTGGGCACTCTTTGCGGCCATAACAGCTCTTTCCCTTTTCGGACCATGGGTGGTTATACCGCTGCGGCAGTCCGGTCCCAGTCTGGGCTCGACCATCATCATTGAGCTTCCATTTCCAGTGTGACGCTGGGTTATGGCTGGGCGACGTTTCAGGCAAGGCTCAAACCGTTTCGGTTTGACAGATTGAGACACTGCGTTGGCCTTACTAATGTCGTCGCAACTTCTGCAGTCGGTACCGGGTTGCTGCGTGCTTCCGCTGTCATTTCGATGCCGTCACTGGCTTCTCTCCCACTCAGCGCAGTGCGATGAAGCTCAGAATATGTGGTCGATGTTTGTTGACATACTGTACAGATGAAGAGGGCGGTGGTGAATACATCAGAATCTGGAATGTACACGAAGATTGCAGGGAAACTGGTACAGGGGAAGGATCAAAGGACTCGAAATGCAGACGGTCTAGAGTAGAAGCACACGATGACAACGAAGAGCGTGAAGGAAGAGACCAGCACAGACACGACAGCAGTCACCGGCGCAGCAACGGTCTCGAGGATCTGTGCAACCCCAATCCCGTTCCACCGGCGATGCGATTTGCCGGGATGACTCGCGAGCGAGATGAACGCCGTGCGGTGAGCAAGCAGTGCGGACTGGCTGGGGTCCTGGTCGCCGCTGACAGCAGAAGAATGTTGCCAATGGTCTGCGTAACAGTCCAAACCAAAGTCGCGTCGCAGGAGATCCATTCTCCACGGCGATTGAGGACAGCGGGAAGCTAACACGACGAAAGGAGTCATTCGCCTCGCAGTGATCTCGCAGTCGTGTTCTTCCAAGAGAGCATCCACGGCATCCCATATCGCGAGTCGGGACGCTGTCGACGATAGGTCGGAGGAAGGGCTAGCGAAATGGAGAACGGTTGTCGAGAGGTAGGTCTCCAGCCAATGAAGACGATCTCGGAACTGGTTCACACTCGGACGAGGCGGGCAGGACACAGGACCGCAATGGTCTACGCACGAGCATGGTCCGGAAAGAGGCCACGTCCAGACATCTCTGCCATACACGTACTCGTTGTACGCCGAGCACTGCGGACAGAGCATGTCTCGCATCGATTCTTCGTGCTGGTGCAAGGCAGAGGTAGACAGACCCAGGAAATGAACCATCAGGAGGGGGACAAGTTGCGCGCGAATCATGAGCAAGATCTCGGGTGGCAGGGAAGAAAACGCAGGGGAGGCTCCTCCTTCGCAGCGCGCGTGTCCAAATGCAAGATTGTCGAATTCTCGAAGTTGGGGAGACGTGTATACGATGGCAGCGTGTAATAGGGTAGAGGACGCCGTCGTCGTCAATCTGCCTGGCATGATGGCTGACATGCGCGCGTTAAACGACGCGCAAATGAAAGCCGCAGGACACGCACCGTGCACGAAGATAACCGAGAGCCCGACTATGCCCAGTTCCCCCCACCCCTCATTTACTTAACGGTCTACGAAGACTTCATTCCGCGGACGAATCTGCAACGTCGATCTGACGTGGGTGATCCAGAACATGGCATTCTTTTCTTCGCAGCAATTTGAGAAGAATGGCGGGGGTGTTGGAAGAGGTCCCATTTGACTGGCAGGTCGATAATTGGTCCGACGCCTACCACCGAACGTCAAAATCCGGACATCGTGCCCACTCATACTCCACCGCGATGCATGAGTCGAGTCGCGATTTTGGAGTCAATGTGACGAATACTGCGACGGCAAAGGAGACAACCGGAGATTCGGACGGAAAAGGACCACGTTCAGAGCCACGCTGGAAAGTCAGAGGGAAAGGATCATGCACATGATGGAAGGTTTCAAGGTTCCGTGGAAATTGGAAGCGGAAACTTTGAAATGCAAAATTCAACTCAGCGAATGCGCATGTGCCATACGCACCTCAACGTTATTTTACATAAATAGGTACTGTGGTCCCTGCTGTGCCTCAAACTCGTTCACGAAGTGGTCCATCGATGTAGTCTTCGCATCCAGCGTCCAGGCCGGAAATCGAAACTGGATTGATGTTTGCCGACCCGCTTCGGCCCTCGAGTACCGGGACATTCCCGAAACTAGGGCAGTATCCATATGCTCCTCTCAAGCCACGGTTTCCTTTGCTGGGGATTTGGGTATGGGCAGCCCACGCCAAGATACTGACAAGGTTTAAAATAGGATTGCATTTAGCTGCAAGAACCCGCAACTCTCGAATGCTGTTCTTTCTTATGGTAAGGTGCAACAATATGACATCCACTTTACCATGATGGACCGACCGGCCGATCTGACGCGCAATCACCTTACAGATACCCTGTCGAAGCTCCTCTTTCAACCAATTGGCGATCGCCATGGCACATGTGCAAGCATATATTCCGGTTATAACCTTTGCTTGCAGGTGCGTTGAGGTTAACCTGAACGTGACCAGGACGGTGAAAATGTGAGCCGGCAAAGTGGTCAAAGTCGAAAGCCCATTCATTAAAGTATAGGACGGACACGAGGATCATAGCTTGGAAGCTGGTGACAACGTGCAGTAGCGCCGATTTTGAAGACCACTGCTCTTCTGGACGACCGGGCCAAGTTCCTAGCGAGGACAGGCAAACCTTGTATTGACATCACGCTTGTGAGGTCCAGCGCCGCCGGATGGAAAGACTGGACGTACCTTGCCATTTGCATATATGTGCTGTTGCGTTCAGCGTGGTGCGCTTGCTCGATCGCTGGCGAGTCCTTACAAATTGGGGTTGAAGCGAATCACGCCGCCACCCGTAGTTCGAAGATGGACCAGTGGGGAAGTCACAAGATAAGCAAGCTGCAGAAAGAAATCAAACGGAAGCAGTTCCTTGTTGTAGAGTGTGTCTTCGAGACCAGCTGTAATAACTTGGCTGATAGAACACTGGATAAATATTCCCCCGCTCAGAAAGTATGTGAACTCACATAGCATCATTCCAAATCTCATCAACTCTGCCAATGATGCCTGACGGTAGACTGGTCACCGTGACGCCGAGTTCTTTGGGCGAATGCAGTCGATCCTTCGGGCCCTCGTGCCAGAGCCAGAAGCTTCAAGCTCGCGCCTGTGAAGATAACGAGATGAATCGATCGCAACGTGTCTAAATGCCAAATTGTCGCAAGCTTCTGCGTAGGCTTTGCATGTGTCGGCTGCAATCGTGTTCTCTCGGTTCTTGCTCATGCGCTAGTGACCTAGAACACCGATCGCTTGCTGAATGTCGTCACGCGCGGGGATTTCTATCCCCAAAGGGACGTTGCCTGGCTGAGTCTTCCTCATCTTCATCGTAGCCATGGGTCACCTGCAGAACATTTGAGAGAAATGTGCCACATTGCTTGGCGAACTTCTGGAGGTCGTTGTATAGTGATGTAGATGTCTCGCGCTGTCCGTGCGAGCCGACCTGCCCTGAGAGAGGAGCCCCTTGATCCCGCCTTCAGTCTTGAATGCCAGAAGTCTGATTGAAAGAGAAGCGAGGGCCAAGGAGGACTTCTACTGTTCACTCGAGCCGTTCTGCGGAGGAGACCAATCGTGGCATAGTACGCTTCGCATCGAGCGATCCAGTCTGTCACCGAGTCATTGCGGAACAGTGTCCCGAGCAACTCTGGAAGACTAGATAGCGAAAGCAAGTGGCCGGTTAAAGCGTCCGGGATCATATCGAGTACTTGAGCCGAACCAGCGGATGGCGAAGGAATAATAGCCTTCAGTGTCGCGAAAATCCGAACCAGAGTCTAGTCTCAACGTTCGCTTTCTTCGCCACTCTGGCCGAGGGGCCACTTATTCGCCGAGACATGTTGGCAGTCCCTGTCCCTCGCACAGAGTGGCAGCGTCGACCCATGTCATAGACAGTTCCTGCAGGTCCGACGTAAGCAGCTGCACTCTTGTCTCGCTAAGTCCTCGAAATTTCTCTCACGGATGCTATCGCCCTTGCCTTCCCCCCATCATCTGCCGATCAAACGCCCAAAACTCGAACGAGGCGATTCCACGTACCTCTCAGCAGCACCCAAGGTCTTCATCGTATACATATGTTGTTTCGTCAGGTGACAGAGCGCTAAGCAATGCTGCTTCACGAAATGCAACCCGAGATGTTATATGCCCAGCAGCGAGGCGAGGGCCGGGATGGACACATACAGGACCGCGAGGCGACTCGACCAGCTGACTAGACCCAGCACAAGCTCTCTCCATCGAAGAGATTGGCGATAATGCGCAATCCTAGACTCGCACAGAGTTAGCACCTTTTCACCCTCTCCGCTCTAAGAGCCGAATCCGTTCTCGGAGACTTGCGGATAGACATCTCCATCCGCTGCTAGCGTTTTCCCCAGAAGGGCATCTTCGTTATCTTCATCATCGCCAATGTCGATGACATGATACTCGAGGAGGTCCTTTCCCGTATTGCAGCGGCTTCACCCATTTCTCACTCCCTTCACTCTCCTCGATCCGCCCCAGGATTTCCTCTAGCTCGCCCTTGTCGATGCAAATCACTTCCAGATGGAGGCGTTTACAAATAGCCGTCGTATCAGAGCTGGTAGACGGTGGCTCTTTGCCTGCGTAGGGAATCGAGTGGGCGAGATGAGCAGAACATTTGTCCAAGTTTCTCAAAAAGAATGAAGGGACGGTGATCTCGTCATCGGCATGTTGATGGTTCATGTGACTGATCTCAGAAGCGGAATATTTGCACGTGATCGCGTACTTCCTGAGGTCGGTGACCACAGAGGGTGCAACTTGGATACAATTGAGATTAGATGATAGCGCAACTAGCAAATCAGAAAGCATTTTCGGTGGAATCGTTCCCCGTCGACAACGTGCTCGAAGATCCAGACGACACAGTCTGCAGGATCCCGTCGATGTAGTTCGCGCCACTCCTAGAACACGTGTCAGTAAAGTCGCTGGCAAAACCA